ACTTAGCGAACGAGTCAAACACGAGCTTCTTAACGGGTTGTTCACGAACAACGAGTCGTTTTGACAGCCCTTCTAACATTAGACGTTACATATATTACATTTGGTGAAAAATATATATTTTATTTTTAAAAAGATGATAATTGATATTTTTTATGTGAAAACAATTAGTGGCATGAATTTAGATATTAAATATGTAAATTCTTAAAAATTGTGTGGTTTATATGTAAGTGTCTCCCAAAATTAAATGAGAAGTGGGACAAGTGCATTAAATGTTAGCATTATCCTGAACGGCCTAACGGGGCCGTGTTGGCCCGCTTTGGTTCCCCACGCTATCAAAAGTCGAACCACCGAACCGGTTCGAACCGCGGTTCACAGTTAAACCGAATTCCTATTTTGAACCAGTCCGGTCTGGCTTCCTTTATACTGAAACCATTTCCATTCTCGTCACTGTTCTCGCGCTCGGTGAGCAGGGAGCAACGATGGATACCGTGCTCATCTCTGGAGCACCCTTTCGACCATCGTCCCCATCGATTTATCCAGAACCCTGCTGCGGTTACTGGTCTGACGATTTCCGGCTATGAGAGGAATCTTCAGCACCGATCTTATCACTCTGTTCTGTTCTTCTCCTTGCTGAGTTGCGGCGGCGGGCGGAGGTGGAAGGAGTGATGGGGGAGGAGGCTTCAGTGAACGAAGCATCGTTGAAGGTGTCGGAAGGAGAAGTTAAGCCGGATGATGGGGAGATCCAGGAGGCCGAGTTGTCGCTGCGAGAGGGGCTTTCGCTGAACTACGAGGTTTTGTGCTTTTTTTATTTTATCGTAATTATATTTCTGTAGTGTTTTTCGGGAAATTTTGTGCTTGATTTGAGCTGGGGTACGTCGGTGGAGCTGGATTTAGTTTCTTTTTCAGCTTGCTGCTTTTTGCTTTAAGGTGACGGAGTCTGACTGCTTGATGCTTCTCTATCTTTTGCTTGGGATTCTAGGCTGTGCAAGAATAAATGCATTTTCCTCCTTGAATTTTATTTTTTGTTTTTTATTTTGTGAGGTTTGAATTGAGGATGCTGACTAGAAGTGTGATTGGTTTCGATTGTTGTTTTACTGTTGATTGAGTTAGGATGAAAAAAGTGTTTTAGTAGGTTGCAATGACTCTAAGAAGTAGGCTTTGTTGCTCAATCCTTCTTTGCAGTGTAGGGATTTTGTTTTTGGAGGTTGGCTTAGGAAGTTCAAAGCTCTAGTTTTTCAATTTTAGCGTCGAAATATGTTTGTCCGGAGGAATAGATAGGTCTTAATTTTTCTTCGATGTCTGCTGCATGCTTCTAGTGGTATTTGACTTGAATGCTATGCTGAGGTCTTGATTACTCTCGGAGGTAACTCATCGTCTTCAGATAGGCATGTCTCTTTTCTGTATTGGTTAGATGTGAAAATGTTGGCTTTAAAAGCTCAATATTAAATAAAATTGAGTTTAATAAACTGGTGATTAGAGGAAAGCGGAAACAGAAAATGGAGCACCTAACAACACATCTTCAAAGACCAAGAACTAGGAGATCGCCCCTTTCATTATGGGGTGATTAAGGGATGGTACCATTCGAGCTTTTTTTTCGTGTCGGAGGTCTGAAAAAAGCAACAATCAATTTCTTGAATCCTCCCTTCCTAAAAGGAACAATATGAAATTATTTTTCCGCTGTTGAATGGGTCTACCTTCAGATTGCTCGCTCCTTTTCCATTGAAAAGTTAAAAAAACAATAAAATAAAGCATTTACATACACACCATCCAATTCTTATATAGTGACATATCTAACACCTATACTTTAATTTTGCATTTATACCACCCAACTATTTCATGCAACTTCAAAAATGCCACTGCTTTAACTTTAAAAAAATGAAAATACATCTTTTTATGCATAGGTGGGGCGGCTTATATGTAAAAAAGGAAGTTTAGGTTAAGTGGTATGTATGTAAATCATCCAATAAAGAACCTCCGTAAAGATTTCAAATGGTGGAAGTGGCTTGGAAACCTAAGACACTATAACCTATGTAAATGGGAAGTTTTCATTTATTTTCCTTTCTTTAACCTTAGATTTATTCTTGTTTGGCCAAAGGAGTGCGAGTTTGGAATGCTGAAGTTACCATACTACTTATAGAAAGGTTAGGAAATGACACTCATACAGGACCCTTGGAGAAACCACGAAGGCCGACATGCTCATAGAATGCACTCTGCTCTAAGGGCCAATCAATCATGCCTCTTCCATCTTGTTTCCAAAATTTCCTCATTGAATCTAATGTTTCCATAAAATTTGCTTCTTTATAATTGTCTTGAAATTTTCTTAATTCATAAAAAGAGATTGATTTTTTCTATATAGTAAGAATGTTTATTTTCCCTCAATCTAAGGGCATAATAAAACATTTTTGATAGTTTTTATTTTTTTTTAGTTATTTGCGTTTGTCATTTCACAAATTTTGTATTCAATTTTAGTATTTAATTTGTTTTTTTTTAATTAACCATGGTTTTACTACGCAGAAATGTCATTTTCATAATGGTTATGCATAACTAAATCGTTTTCTTGTACATTCATTGTAACTCAACATAATTTACTGTTCCAATTCTTTTCTTCCCTCTAACATAAGCCTACTTTAGAGATGATTCCGTAGTCTTGAAATCTGAATTGGATCGCTCTATCTTGAGAAGGTTGCACTGTGAAACTTGGCTTTGGTTAACTAGATTTGCTTTGTGCTCATAGATTAAAGCACACTTTTCCAATGATTAATAAACCGAAGACAAGCTGTTTTCCCTATGAAGCTATTGAGAATGTAGACTTCCATTGTTAAGATAAACAATCTAAAGCTCTTTAAACTTTTTCATTTTACATTTAATGAAACTAAGCTTGGCAAGGAGCTACACACTTCTATCAATAACTGTGACAAACCTATCACCATTATGAATCTTATTTTTTATTTTGTGATGTTTGAATTGAGGATGCTGACTAGAATTGGTTTCGATTTTTGTTTTACTGTTGATGGAGTTAGGATGAAAAAAGTGTTTTAGTAGGTTGCAATGACTCTAAGAAGTAGGCTTTGTTGCTCAATCCTTCTTTGCAGTGTAGGGATTTTGTTCTCGGAGGTTGGCTTAGGAAATTCATAGCTCTAGTTTTTCAATTTTAGCGTCGAAATATGTTTGTCCGGAGGAATAGATAGGTCTTAATTTTTCTTCGAGGTCTGCTACACGCTTCTAGTGGTATTTGACTTGAGTGCTATGCTGAGGTCTTGATTGCTCTTTGAGGTAACTCATCATCTACTGATAGGCATGTCTTATGTTTGTATCGGTTAGATGTGAAAATGTTGGTTTTAAAAGCTAAATGTTAAATAAAATTGAGATAAACAGGTGATTAGAGGAAAGCCAGAAACAAAATATAGAGCACCTAACAATGCTTCTTTGAAGACAAAGAACTACGAGATCGCCCCTTTCATTGTGGGTTGATGAAGCAGAGGTCTGAAAAAAAACAACAATCAATAAAATTTCTCGAATCCTCCATTCCCAAAAGGAAGAACATGAATTCTTTTTCCTTTGTTGAATGTGTTGACCTTCTGATTGCTCGTTCCTTTTCCATTGAAGAGTTTAAAAACCAATAAAATAAAGCATTTACATGCATACCATCCAATTCTTATATATTTACATATCTAACACATATAGGTTAATTTTTACATTTATATATATTTACATATCTAACACTTACATATCTAACACATATAGGTTAATTTTTACATTTATACCACCCAAATTTTTTCATGCAATGTCAAAAACACCACTGCTTTAACTTTTAAAAAGTGAAAATACATCTTTTTATGCATAGGTGGGGTGGCATAGATGTAAAAAATGAAGTTTAGGTTAAGTGGTGTGTATGTAAATCATCCAATAAAGAACCGCCTAAAGATTTCAAATGGTGGAAGTGACTTGGTAACCTAAGACACTATCACCTATGTAAATGGGAAGTTTTCATCTATTTTCCTTTCTTTACCCTCAGATTTATTCTTGTTTGGTCAAAGGAGTGTGAGTTTGGAATACTGAAGTTACTGTACTACTTGTAGAAAGGTTAGGAAATGACACTCATACGGGACCCTTGGAGAAACCACGAAGGCCGACCTGCTCATAAAATGTACTCTGCTCTAAGGACCAATCAATCATGCCTCCTCCATCTTGTTTCCAAAATGTCCCCGTTGAATTTAATGTTTCCATATAATTTGCTTTTTTATTGTTGAAAGATCTCGAAAATACTAATGATTATATTCATATTTGTTATAAATCTATATTTAGAGGGTTATAAATTATATGAGGGATATTAGGAATTTCTATTTATTTTTCTCTTTAAATTAGAGAAATTAGCTGTCTCTTATATTTTCTGCTGTATTCTGTTTTTATTATTTTCCTTACCAGTAAGTCCTGTAATGGGTATTTATACCCCTCTTTTCATCAATAAAATCAAGTCTTCTCATATTTTTTCATGGTATCAGAGTCATACCAATATTCTTCAGTATGACTACTTTTTCTTCTTCCTCCCAAGAAATATTCTCCGCCTCATCTGCCCCTGTTCCAACCGGAATCGATGGCACTTCATCCCTCATCACTGGTCACAAACTTAACGGCCAAAACTACCTCCAGTGGTCTCAATACGCCATGATGTTTATCTGCGACAGAGGCAATGACGACTATATCACCGGTGATGTCGTCGCTCCGACCAAAGATGACCCAAAATTTCGGACATAGAATGCAGAAAACCATATGGTCATGTCATGGTTAATCAATTCCATGACCAACGACATCGGCGAAAATTTTCTTTTCTATGTCACGGCCAAAAGTATTTGGGATGCTGCTCGAGAGACATACTCTCACTCGGATAACACATCCAAACTCTTCGAGATCGAGTAATCCTCCACGATCTTCGCCAAGGTGATCAATCTGTGACTCAGTATTTTAATGTTCTCTCATGTTACTGACAGCAGGTTGACATGTATGAAGTTCATGCCTGGTCATGCACTCCGAACTCCAACTTATACCGTCAGATCATCGAGCAAAAAAGGATATTCAAATTCATTCTCGGCCTCAACAACTCTCTCGATCATGTCCGCTCTCGTGCATTAGGCTTCAACAAAGAGAAACTAGATTTGTTGCACAAACTGATCGGCAAATCACCTGAATCGGCTATTCCCGACCCCATCACCGGCCTGCTCGCGCATCAAGGTACGCTCTATCATGCCTTCACAGTCAAGCAAGAATCCCTCGGTCAGTGGATCATCGATTTTGGCGCTTCTCATCGCATGACTGACGATGTCTCCCTTCTCCATGACTATATGTCGTGCGGAGACAACTTCATCATCCGCGTTGTCGATGGCTCTGTCTCTAAAGTCACCTGCTTTGGCTTCGTGCTCATCACCCAAAACATTCTACTCTGATCTGTGTTCCATGTTTCTACTTTAAATTGCAATTTAATATCCATCGAAAAATTGACTAGTGATCTGAGGTGTATTGCTAAATTTTTCCCTACCACATGTGAATTTCAGGATGCGGACTTGGGGACGACGATTGACAATGCTAAGTTGTGCTCGGGTCTCTACATCATCAACGGTACTTCACCACCATGACCTCGTTGCGGACATTTGTTTACCCATCATTTTGTCTTCAATTCTAATATCAATAAAGATTCCGAGATCATGTTATGCATTTTCGTCTCGATCATCCAAATTTTATGTATCTTGCAAAACTATTTCCAAATTTATTTATCAATAAAGATGTTCGTTCTTTT